TGGTCCGTGGACATTACATTGCGGCGCCCGGTGCACCTGGTTATCTTAGGTTGACAAACGTCCAGGATAGATGGAGAGCTTGAATCAAAAACTAGGATTTCCACGGATCCAACGAATTACGGGATTTAAAACCCCTATTTAATTACGTGTTAAAGCTGCGCAAACGGCGTGCGTCCTTGCGGCAAGGGTTTCTTTCACGATTTATGTCATAATATACCTGAAACAGGAGACGCGGCAGCCCTGCGGTACCGACTGTATACCTCGTACACAAATGTATTTGAAGGTAATGCGACGTGTGTCTTCTCAGGGTTTTCAATGCCACAAACCGGTTGATGCAGCAGTCTCGTTCTCGAAGAAGGTTCCAGTGTAAGCGGCGTGTACTGTGTAATGTTAAAGATGTGCCTAGCGTGAAGTGCACTTCTATAAAAGTTAAAATGCTAAATGCTGCCATTCAGTATTATTCCTTTTTGCTTGAGGGTAGCCGAGTACGAGCCCAGAATAGTAGGGGACGGTTGATGTACCTGCTGCTGCAGTAAAACTCAGTGTCGGTTAAGAGAGTGAAGAAACGAAGCGGCAGAGGATGGTGGTTAGAGTCTAGGGATAGCGGAGGGTGAAGATGGCTGGTAAGGTGAGACTGCGGCTGTCATGAACTGGGGGTTCATTCTCTCGTTATCTCTTTTCTCCTTTTTCTCATGATTCTCCTCTATACGAATCTTCTGCTGAGACCAGCTACCCCGCTCCCATCAGCGAGCTCTACTTTGTCGGCGACTTCAGGCTCAGACTTAGGGACGGGTGCTGGGTATCACATACAGTCGACTGTATAAATGACGGGGCTGGGCTTTCGTTGGGCACGCTGGCATAAACATGAAACAACATTATGAAAGGGTGACGTCGCGGCACGACCGGCTACGCTCTAATTTAAACAAATATCACAAGTTGTTTAGCTCTTCCTCGTCCCCTCTGCCCCGTTCTTCCGGCGCCGACAACGTATCCTCATCCTGAGTAGCTAACCTGGCAGCATGTCGCGTTCTATGCCTGAAGCGTTCGCCATAATGGACCCGAGAATCATTCCTCTAGGAATCATCCCTCATAAAGGGTGTCGGTGAAAGGGGTGAAATTTTATGGAATTTTTAGACACTCTTTCTCTCTGCTCTCAGACTCGTTAACAAATGAAACAAGCTGCCAATCATGTCAGAGACACGAAGACTCGTTGGGAGTTGTTTCCAGGGTGCCGGGAGTTCCAGAGCGGCGGATCCGAGAAACGTGATCAAGAGAGATCCTGGGATGAGACTTCGTAAACAATAAATTAAATGCCGAGGATCAAACTAATTCTGCGCCTCGGGGAATCTGCGAATAAATTATTCGTTCGTTTAGTTGTTCGTTCAGTTCATTCCTTCTTAAGGATGAGTACAGCAGATGAGGATGAGATTGGAGAGCGACTGAGGGTAGCCGTGGAGGGTAAAATTCGGGCGATGACGATCCCGTCAGAAACCAGAGACGCCAGGGCGTCGTATTAGAATCCAAATGATCCCATTACGAAAACAACAATAAAACTAACAAAGATAAAGGGGCCGTTCGCGCGAGGCTCGTTCAGAAAGTTGGAATTAAGGGGTGGCTCTCCAGTGGTGCCAAGTATCATGACGATAGGTAGGTGCAATTTTTATTTTTTTCTTTCATCCCCTCAACCTCCATAGTATATTCCAGTATCCCATTGATCCAGAACATTCTAGCGCTTGACTGCTTGATGATTCGTCCACTACTGGACCTGGGTCAAAACTGATGTTGTTTAGCTGAGAAATTAGCTGGTAACTGGAGGAGAAGAATAACTGGTATAACGCATATGGAAACGAATAGGAGAATGAGGAGTGTCGGGTGATACTGAATGGTGGATACGATATACATATCTATACACCTGAGTGTACCAAGGCATTTAGAGACCTTTAGCCCGACTCATCAGCTTTGTGCTTTGCGCGCGAGTCGAGTAATAACGCAGCTTTTGCCAACCTCAAAAACATGAATTTTCACTTCAACTTTTGGTTAACTGCCCGCCGCGCCTAAGTAGAAAGTTAATTTTTTAATTACGTCATGCATCATCGCGACGAGCCTCTTCGAATGTAAAACACGTGTATATCATGTGTGAATTTCAAGATCGATTGTAACATATTGCTGTACTTAAATCAAGCGATATCACCAGACACTGATAATTTGATAAGAACAGATCAAAGTTGTAGACGACACGTGTTTTTAATTAGTCTCAAGCGAATATCAAGATCGATTGTAACATATTATTATTATACATTTAAATCAAACGATATCACCAGACACTGAAAATTTGATAAGAACAGATAAAAGTTGTAGACTGCAAGTGTTTTTAATTCGTCTCAAGCCTACTCATCATTAGACTTTTATGATAAATAATATATACATATACACTTGCCATCTCAGCGATTGTACAATGAGAATTTACGAGAACGCTCGTATTTTAATTTTTCAGCAGCGTCCAGGTACAGGATGATGGTATACTACGTGAAACCCCTCTCAGACTTTTCTGGAGTCATACCTAAAGGGGTCATAGCAAGCCCATAGGGGTTAGAAAAGAGTCCACCCCTTTTCCGTTTCTTGGCGTTTCCTCGAGGATACAGCATCCGTGTCCGGAGTTGACATTACGGGGCATAATATTTAATAATTATTTTCATTAAAGTTGTAATAAACTTTAGAATACTTTATTAATTTATAGGGTAGAGAAACACGTTTTAAAGGGTTGCTACTCCTGGCGGCTTCTCACCGCCATTTGTATCAATTATCATACAACGCCAGCTGGATTAACCTTCGCCACAGATTCTCCGCAGAATCTTCGAAAATTCCGTGGACTTAACGCTTTACTTTAAAACTTTCAGATATTCTCAAAATCTCATCCATTCGCTTCTCTTCCACCTCATTTCTAAGTACTTAGACAGTTATAGCTCAATCCCACTAACCATCTTTCGTCCCGTTCCACCACCCCCTCAAAGAATCTCTCCCGCCCCTATACGCCTTTCTTTACATCTTCACCACGGACAACGCAACTTGTTAATTTAATCCTCGCAAGCACTCTCGTCTGCCATGGCGAGTGCCCGACTTCCGGTAAGGCCGAATCTACCTTCACCCCCTCGACCGAAGTTCATTGAGGGTCCCAGTCGGAAGTATTCGCCCAAGAGGCCTTAAAACGGGAGTTTCAAACACAAAACACAAAAGTCCCTCACGCAAGCGTACCTCGCATACGCCATACTGTTTCTGCTTATACTTTTACTTGAGTCTCTTCTGCTTCCACCTGTCTCTACGTGTGTATATAACTATATATATGAATATAGCTATACGTCAAGATTTTACTTCCCTTTAGCCAGATGTGTATTTCTCGACATTCCCTTTCCTTCTCTTTACCTTTTCATCGTCTCGTACGCATATATATGCTTGTACACGTAATGCTGGCAAAATAGTACGAAGGCTACCTTCGACCCTCAAACTTACACTCACCTACTCTCTCTTCTTACTTGAATTGAAAATCTCTTTATACACGTGGCCGAGATGTATGCCGGCTGGAAGCCGTAAGCAAATCGTGTTACGCTCACGGCCGGGCAGCTATCTCTACGGTCCGAGAGGAATTAAAATAAATACATATCTTAATTAAGCTCGGGAGTACGATATACCGGGTGGCTGAAAGTAAATGGCTTTTGAATTTTATCTTAGTGCAATTTTTTCATATCATTCTTCACTGATAACGATACGCGCAACTGTATGAAAGTAATTGCTGTTAGTACGTAGGGCGTAGGGGCAATTAATTTTTATACGTATATTACGCTTGATCGAAGGTCGAATTCATTTGCTTCTCTATCCAGATCACCCGATAACTTTTGTATATACATATGGCAGCTCAGTTTTGTTGCTTTACTCCCCTTTATATGCATATTCGAATATCCGCAGCATGCATCTCAAAGTTCTCTCTTATGCGCTCTCAGCGTTAAGAGCTTTTCTTGATTTTTATTTTGCTTCACGTACTTTTCTTTTTTTTTGCATTACTCGACTCGCAGTAACGTTCATAGAGGAAATGTTCGTGAACATTTTTTTTTGTCTGGATATTTAATTATCAGATATGAATGATTTATAAGTAATCTTGATTTTTATATGTATAGTATCATCTATCAATTATCTACATCTATCTTTGAATTTCGCTTATTTCGTATATCATGAAGTCATTCAATTTTTTTTACCATTACGAAATTTCCAACCATGAAATTCCAAACGAACTCGCCATTTATTTTTTTTTTTCTATGGCGCAGATGGTTTCACCATAAGGAAGTGGAAGGTCCAGGGCCTCGAGTGAGCTTATTATTATTTATATCCCTTTCTGACCGGTGCGCCGAGGTGGGATTACATTTTCCTCACGCTCTACTCGAGCGGCTGGCTCTGACAATTTTTCTTTTTGCATTCCCTTCGTCAAAGAGCCCCTCGCACTGTTTCTCGCGAAGTAGTATAATTATTTTAGCTGAATTAAATATACGTTGCCGTCCTTGCAAATACGTGACAATTATGGCCAGGAATCAACGAGATAGGCTTGTACGTTACGTCATAGATTCAATAATTTTCCCCCCTTGACTCATATTTGGCATTATTCTCTATCTCGGTTTATCGCTTCCATTGACCTTTCCTTATGAACAGTAACGATGACATAGAGAAATTGTGGACGTATACAGTCCGTTGCAAAACTAAAGTGCTCTCTAGTTTCCTTAAAAGATTTGTTTGTATGCTTATACTAGAAAATTTAAAAATTTTATGTAATATAGATACGAGGCGATAATGGTAAAATATATCTTCCAATTATGTTCGAATTTTAGTATCACTATGTACAATTGTAATTATATTTTGTGTCGAACTGTACTCCAGTATCAATGAGATATGAATTGTAGTCGCGTTCGCGCATGCGCTGGATCTCAAATGAAAATACTGGACATTACTTTGTCTCTGTGCACTTATTCCATTACAGTTTCGTAATCAGACCACTTTTAAAGTGAAGGTTATCGTGCGATATGTTAAACATACTGTTTCTCATTACCTTCGATAACATGTGATTCTCGGTCAGTAAATTGTACTTTTCAGGCACTACTGTGCATGAAAAGTTTTCCAGTGAGATTCCAGCGGTTGACAGTTGACGTCGAGCATGAAGTCGTTGAAAATTTTCACAGTGATAACTGTTCTCTTTGGCATCAGTCATGGATTGAAAATACTGGGAGTTTTTCCATTGTCGAGTAAAAGTCATTGGATGATGTATCGGAGCATTGTCGAAGAATTAATGCATAAAGGTCACGAGGTAAGATTGAAAAAAAAACATATAATAAAGAAAATCATGAAATTTTGTAGATCATTAAATCACGTGAAAAATATTAACGTTTCAGATAGACGTCATTACTCCGTTTCCTTTAAGGCACTCCGCCCCAAATTATAAAGAGATAATAATTGAAGTTCTCGATTTACAAATGGAGAATGTTACTCTTGACATAATTCAACATTCGAATCCATTCACAGATACGGCATTTATGAGTATCATGGCGGGAAATGACCTTTGTGAATTATTGAGGCGGGAGCCGTTAAGTAGTTTCATTAAAAATACACCAAGGGACAAATACGATATTTTCCTTACGGAAATATTTGGGGCTAACTGTTATTTGGGTTTTGGAGCGCATTTTGACGTCCCTCTTGTAGCTGTTACGTCATCGGTTATTCTTCCATGGGAGAACGATTACGTTGCTAATCCGGAATCGACTTCCTACGTACCAAATTATATGTTACCTTATACCGATCGAATGAATTTTTATGAAAGATTCGTTAACACCGTAATGAGTATTATTATTAAGTATGAATTTGCGTATTTCACCAAATCACAAGACGTTGTGCTCAAGGAAGTTTTTGGGCCTGATTCGCCTGGGGTTAGAGAATTGGAAAGTAAAATTGATTTGTTATTGGTAAACTCGCATTACTCTATTAACACGCTACGACCATTGGTGCCAGCCGTGGTCGAGGTAGGAGGATTACACGTTCATGAAAATGTTGCTGATAAAATGACACCGGTAAGTTCTTGTAACGATTGTGACTTAATTGGTTTCATGGTAACAGTATTTATCATTATCAAAAAGTAACAGTTACCCTGATGGATTATATTTATTTTTAAATTGAATTTTATTCTATTTTAGTCTTATTATACAGGAATTAGAAAAATGGATGAATGATAGTACAAACGGCGTGGTATATTTTTCCTTGGGTTCAATGGTTAAGCCTGAATCATTTCCCCCTACAATTATCAATAGTTTGTACAAATCGTTCAGTCAACTGGCACCGATAAGAGTTCTTTGGAAAGCCAATAAAACAGAATTGCCATCAGGATTGCCGGATAACGTTCGCACTATGGATTGGATACCACAGGCTGATGTTTTGAGTATGCAATTTTTTTTAATTTATCAACTATCAAAATTACGTAAATCGCATAAAATTTATTATGAGAAAATTAATTCAATGTGTCTTCACGTTATCCCAGGGCATAAGAATGTTAAAGTATTTATCAGTCATGGTGGTCTTATGGGAACGCAAGAGGCTGTTTACGCAGGGGTACCAATTGTTGGTATTCCATTGTTCGCTGATCAAGCACTTAATATTAATAATTATGTAACTAAGAAAATTGCTGTTCGTGTTGATTTTAATGATATCAGTGTGAAAACTTTATCCGAGGCTTTGAACACTGTTATCAATGATCCGACGTATTGGGTAAATGCTAAATATATAAGCAAAAGATTCCGAGACAGACAAGCGTCGCCATTGGACACTGCTGTGTGGTAAGTGTATTGACCTATATTCTGTCATTTTAAAAAAAAATGAATTAACCTTGTAAAAAATATATATATTTTTCAGGTGGATCGAATACGTTGCACGTTATGGTAAAGGCAGTTTGAGAGCAGCTGCCGTCGATATGCCCTGGTGGCAATTGGCCTTGATTGACGTTTACGCGGCAATTATTTTAATCTTAGGAGCTTCTTTGTACCTTTTGAAGATTATAGTCAAATTGATTCTTAGTGCTATAAGCAACCACTTTAGCGCGAAACAAAAAAAGATTCAGTAAGGAATTATTTTTAGGATAGGAAACATTAAAGAGATTAGTCGATACAATTGCATTAGACGCTTTTAAGACAATAGTATGGATTAAATTAGATATTGTATAATATATAGAAACAAATGTGTTGTCTACTAGATTAAACGACGAATATTTATTTTCACGAATGACAATGAATGGTCATGGCTTTGTAACAGTGAGAAACTAGAATAAATTAAAAACAAAAAATTATATCTTTTTTTTTTTTAAGACAATGATACTCTTAGATCTGTTATAGGAGGAGAAATTGGAATTCTCAGGTGCGAAAGTCCCTTTGGCCGTTCCCGCTTAAAAAATATGCCCACCTTCGCGGTAGCAAAAACTTTTCCAATTTTAATCCATCATTCGGTAGCGGTAAAAAAAAGAAACTTTTGTCCCGTAACAAGTTGGCAGCGGAGATGACTGCGGGGATGATGCCGTAGCGTTTCGGTAAAGGGGGTCGTCGCTGTAAAAGAGAAGGAAATAAAAAGCAGAGGCTATTGCGAGAAGGCCACTGTTACTAAGGGTGGGTATTGGTATAAGTCCAGAAAGTGAAAGAGGGGTGGAGACAAGGCAAAGGAAGGGGGGGGGGGTGGTAGAGGGTGTCGTTCAAAGGGTTTTCACGAAGGGTTTGACCCATAAATAAAAGAATTAGTTTTTAATGAACATTAGTCACCATTAATTGTGGAAAGTTAACCCCTTTTTTCTCGAAGAGGGTCCTTTGAGACTGACATGACGAAGGACAGAGGATGGTTCGCGGTCCTAACAGGGGGAGTAGGTGAGTTTCGCGAGAGGACTCCTACGAAACCCAAAGGGGACCACCCTGTCGTGAGTACCTGCAGGGTGCTTCAGAGGACCTCTGGAGGGTTGTCAAAAGGAAGAGTCACCCTCCACCCCACCCGCCGGCCCTACCAAAAGAGTCAGTGGCGTATCCCGGAGCAGGCGTACGGTGTCAGCCGGCTAAAGGGTTGAAAAACACAGAGCCCTCTTTATTTAACATTTCCTGCCTGCCATTCTTTCATTGTGCGATAATTAAGTTAGCGAAAGGGATGGAGAGACGAGTCAACCCCAATCGCGTCCTTGTCGCCCTAAGATAACATAAATAATTAATGGCCCTGACCATGACGCTTGTCAAAAATTTTTCTTGCCCCCCTTCTGCATCCCCACTCCCTTTTTTTCGCACCTCCCTTATTTTTCCCCACGTTCACGTCCCCTTGAAGTATCTTTAATTACAGTCAACGCACATTCCAACTACGTGCCAAGTACGCATGCCATTGTACACACATGTCCCAAGAAAACATCGAAGCGTGTCACGTATCGTGACTGAGAGATTTCGCGTGGCTGACGATTCGTTAGAATTTGCGGAATTTCAAACTCGCAAGATTTCTATGATTACAGGTGAGGAGGGCAAAACGCATGTACGCTCGCGCGTGCACACGCGAAAGGATATTACGTCTCGGGGACTCGAGTGTACCAAGCTAAGAGTTATATTAGACAGGAACGAAGAGAGCTCCAGTAGCAACTGTCGTCTTTCACTGGGATATTCGCCCAGCCACCCAGTCACCTATCCAACGCCTTGAAACCTCCGTGTGCACCAAGAATCTCGCTAATTAGATATATAAGGAAGCTAATTGTAATAAGGTAGAGTCGGGTGTACGAGAGCGAGCCGTGGTCGACGTGCAGTAACTGTATAGTAACATTTTACCCATTTGCCTCTCTCTCTCTCTCTCTCTCTCTCCCTCTTTATATGCATCGCACAACGTCTCGACGTTGCTTTATAAACTTTTGCAATACGTCAGATACGCGTCGCAACGCTATGCTCAATGGTCCCTCTTTATATGCATCGCACAACGTC